TGAGAGAAATGTTGTTAAATGTATTCAACATTATTGTAAAAATAAAATTCATTTTTTATTTACAGAATGCGAACATTCTGAAACCATTCATGATTTTTTACTTAACAAATTTGTTCTTTTAATAATATATAATTATGTAAATGGTGTTAATAATAATAAAGTACAATAAAAAGAAATTGCATTGTTTTTTATTTTAATTCATAAATCATGCTGTTCATCCAAAAACTTAATGGATACAAATATAAATGTCCCTATAAATTGCCTTCATTTACTTTAAAACAAGTTAGACAATTTATATTTCATTTTTATTTGTCTTTATTATTTTTTCGGATAAAACTAGTGAAAATTACTGAAAATTTTAAAAAGCCCGCCACTATTGGCCATATTGAATTTAGTACCAGACCAATTTGATAGATGGCGCCACATCGCCTAATAATTTTACCATTGAGTTTCCCATCTATCACTTGGCGTAATCTATGGACATATCAGCGCTTCAGTGCTGTCTTGCGAATTTCAAGAGGAGAGAAAGCAGGATAGACCCTAAGCCTGATTGAAGAGATCCAGTGACTGCACTTAAGCCTGATTGAGGTGCTCCAATGTCGGGACCCAAGTCTGATTGAGGAAGTCTGCCAAAATCCCCCAAGGCGGAGCAGAAGGATGTCTAAAAGGGTGAAAAATAAAGTAACATTGAGGTGGAAGTCGTACGTAGATACTGTTACAGTTTCAAAATTTCTGATTTATACTACACTCGGAACTAGTGAGAAAAATTAACGTCTTATGCAAATAAAAGGTTTAATATAAATAATTTTTAAAATTATACAAATATATTGCAAAGAAAATAAATCTTAAGCCAGATAGTATTTAGTGGAGTAGGCTTTATCGCTCAGCTTATTCTGGTTAACTGAAAAAATAAAACATACCATTATCATTTAAAGAATCCAATTCTAAGCCCTTAAGCTACTGATCTTCTTCTGTTTTAAATATCTTATTATTTATTTTCCCATATCATTGAGATTTCTATCCTAAAATAAGTAATTACAATTCTAGTTATTTAATGTTTTATATATAAGCTGAGATAAGGGAGATAAAGATATGAAATGCTCGTAAGAAGCCAATGCTTAACACCAACCAGCTTTAACGCAGTTACTGACCCACTATGTGGCGCTTTCATCGATAACAAACAAATAACGCAGCGACAAAATTTAAAAACCTGATAATATAGATTGTATAACTATCGACTGCACTCTTATGTTCTGGTAAATAAATTTAAACAATGTAATTTGCCAAATTATTTATTAAAAAGAATACTATACCTATAGTCTATTATCGATTTATTATTGTAAATCTATATATGATGAATATTTTTTAATTTGTGATCGTTATTTATAACATTAACATTTTTGTTATTTTCCAAACGACTGGCCAATGGTTTCTTATTTAAAAATATTGAGTGCAGATACAATATTGAAAATTCAGATATTTTTCTTCTTATATCAAATCTTTCTAACGTTTTAAAGCCATTTTCTTGTTCTAAAACAATAAATAATAAATACATACTTTGTGACAAAAGTTGGCTAGTATTTGTGTTACTTATAAGACTAGGTCTCACTTCGGTTCATTAAAGAACGCCACATTGGGGTTGTTACATTTATTCATGTGCCATGTGTTACTAATGCAATACGTTCTCCTACTTATTGTAATACTAAGAAATATATTTATTTTCCTCAAATTTCACAGAAAAATGGCAACAACTATTTTGTTTAGTTTATTTAGAGGATAACACAATCATAAACTTAAAATTAAAAATTTAAATTCAGGATTCTACGATATACATAGAAATAATTAACATTTATATTTACAAACTGTCCACTGCTGTCCACGTCTACTGTCTGTCTGCAAAAGACGCGTACCTTTAGTTAACATTTGAGACGCATAGATAACGCCATCGTTGCTGCGGTCGTTGCCATTCCTATCTTTATGTCCCTAATGTCTGTATATGGGGTTTGTTTATGTTTATTAAGTCACTTGTCCTCGTGTCATTGTCATTCAATAGACCAGATTGACAAGATTCGGTTCTGGGTGAACAAAAGTACAGTTTGAACTTATTAGATAAGATTAGACAATGGGTATATACTAGTAATTGTTTATAAGTAGAAAGAGATAGATACTTTTGTTCAACATTTTTAAAGAGAACTTAAACTCTGACTTTCAACCTTTTATTTGGTATTGATTTGGTCACTTTCTAACCTGACTTGCTAGGCTGTAGAAAGTTCTGTACCTACTTATCCTAGAAAAGGATTCTGCAAGTTTAGTTAGAACCAAAATTATTATTTGGAAATTATTTACTATTGTGTAATTTGTTAGATATTGGATAAACCCAATAATTAAGGATTCAGATTACCTAAATAGTATTGAATTTTACTATCTGACCACCCTCCATCCTAGGTGTATCTCTTTGAATTTGGAACATTAGTATAAAAATCTTTGATCACTTTTGTTATGCATATTTTCACATTAAATATTTAATTAGGTTATTTACTTACATAAAATTGTTAGATATTCAGAAAGATATTTACCCTTTTAGGCCTAAAAGTTTCACGTTAACTTTCCGTTAACTGTAATTCCTACTCTTCAACTTCACAATGAGAAAGTTAATAATTCAAATAAAGAATACTAGACCGAATATCTTTCAAGAATACTAAAGTAGGACCTTCTCATATTAATAGACCCTCAATATACCCAGGGTAATCTTCATTTAGACCATCCACTTAATATATTGTGTCTTTCTAAAATTTAGATAGTGATTATCAGTTGTTTGTGTTGAATTATTGGATTACATAAATAATAGTAGCCTATTAATCTCTTGTAAATATATTTTGTCGTTTTTAAAGCAGGGTTTGGCTTTCATAGCGGGTATCTTTTTTTGTATAAATTAGTTTTATAGGATAATTTAATTTGTACTATATATATATTTTAAATCCTTACCTGTAAACCAAGAGAACGTACTTAAGGGGCAACTACCATAACCATATTTGGAATTGTCTTGGGAAAAATCACACGAGGACCTTATTTTTTTTGGATATGTGCCATCATAACTTCATAATCTACCATTATTAGGTTAGGTACAGGGTACGTAATTGACAATTTGACGTCTGGACAGGGCTTGCAACTTCCCAATTGCAAATTGTAGGAGAAAATATAGAATAAAAGGATCCAGACACTCCATATAGCCTTAAATTTTATTTTCATTATAACTCGACCCCTCCTGACTGAGCTTTTTATACTTTTCTGCTTCATTTGTTATAATAAATAAATTTTATAACAAGTGCAATTATATTTAATAACAGTACTTTGCGCCTAGCGCTCCACGCTGCTCAGCGGTCTTTGTTTACTTGAAGCGTAGCCCTATACCTAGTCTAATTTGTTATAAAATATTGGGCGCCCTTTTTAAATTTTTGTACCTCTATGTAAAAAATTAAACAAATAAAACGTGAAATCCAAATATTCTTTCACATATTAAAAACAGTTATTAATCGAAAACCTATCTAATTTACTGTTATATAGCTTCACATTTAATTTATTTTTATATCATTCAGAAGTTTATTATATACCAGGGTATCCATGGTATTTTTCGGAAAATGTAGAATTAGGAGACGGTATCAGTAAATCATTTTGAGTTTAAATCTAATAGATATATTAAAAAGTATCTACAAAAATACTCAAGATTTGATTTAACGTAAAAATAAGTAATTGGGTGAATTAGGAGCTTCTTAAACTTTTCTCTACATACCTACGAGTCTATAACTTAACAATGCTACATTCCTTACACCTCAGTACATGTCGTGCACTCTTTGATTTAACAAGATCTTTTTAATACTTAATATGCTAACAAGTCATTTATTAGTAATATTCTTTAGCCTAAAAAGTGCAAACCATACAAACGAATGTTTCTTACAATCACTATATCAATATGCATTGATTACCACCTATCCTCTGCTCATTAATATAATTTACTCTGGTAGTAAAATAAAAATGGTTTTTTGATGCAGTGTTAGTTCAATGGTCAACCCAATCCACTACGTCTCCAAAGGCTTCGTCTTCCCCAAAGGCTTCGACTTTCCTAAAGGCTGAACTTCTCCAACGGCTTAGACTTTCCCAAAGGCTTAGATTCCAACCGAGAAAGAATAATGACGAAACTGCTGCTGATTTTTTTTCAATTAGTACATTTCCATTACCTAATTCGTAACTAACCACAGGGCGTAAGTGATCAGTGGAAACTTAGAGTGAATAAAGGTCACAAAGTAACGAATCTCATTTAAAATTATTTGTTTCCATAATCTGAGCTGAGCAACCGTTCAATCATTAGATCACATCCATTGAGTAAGCCTGTAGTATTCATCTATAAAGAAAGAATTACAACAGTTGCTCTATTGTCACTCTAGAAGACTTGTAAGGTCACTCCAAAATTTCAAATGCCTCTACTGAAAATCCAGTAAATATGAGATATGTCACTACTTATTCTGAGGGACGAATTATTGTAGATAAGCACTGAAGATGGCAAAATATCGAAATAGCTTGGCATTTATTAAATAAAACAATTTTGCACGAAATACAAGGTTTTCTCTTGTTGAATTTATATATCTGCTGTTTTTCCTTTGGATATAATTCAATACCTATTGCGGTATTAGACAAAGGAGGGGTTGTTTTTCGAAGTTGTGTGACATATAGCTGTTTTCTTTGTTTTATTTCGTTTTACATCTTGGTCACTTTTGAATTTGTAATATTTTTTTTTAAGGGCATAAGGAGGTGGTTGTTTATAGTATCAAAGCATTAGTTATGAGTTACATATATTTTTCTTTTATGTTTTTATTTTATTAATATTTACTAAAAAACAGTACCAAAAAGTAATCTTAAAAAGATTTAGGAATAGAACTTAAAAGAATTAGAATTTTGTAAAAGCTATTTAAAAATAACTATGTTTAATATTAATATGTTTTCTATTAAATAGTCTTCGTTGCTCTTTCATTGTACCACTCAACGTACTTTCTTCTAAGAAGGGGTATTATCTTGATTTTAAACGTTGATGGAATTAATTTATTAATATCCTTGGGTATACCTAAAAAAATACAAAATATAAAATAATCATCTTATTAACATACATTACACTATCACACGTCACACATCACATCACACATCACACATCACACATCACACATCACACATCACACATCACACATCACACATCACACATCACACATCACACATCACACATCACACATCACACATCACACATCACACATCACACATCACACATCACACATCACACATCACACATCACACATCACACATCACACATCACACATCACACATCACGCATCACGCATCACGCATCACACATCACACATCACACATCACACATCACACATCACACATCACACATCACACATCACACATCACACATCACACATCACACATCACACATCACACATCACACATCACACATCACACATCACACATCACACATCACACATCACACATCACACATCACACATCACACATCACACATCACACATCACACATCACACATCACACATCACACATCACACATCACGCATCACGCATCACACATCACACATCACACATCACACATCACACATCACACATCACACATCACACATCACACATCACACATCACACATCGCACATCGCACATCGCACATCGCACATCGCACATCGCACATCGCACATCACACATCCCACATCACACATCACACATCACACATCACACATCACACATCACACATCACACATCACACAAATAAATAAAAATAAAACAGAATCAAATAAATCGAATATTTTCACTGATTATTTCAAATCGACATCCATACCTATTCGTCTATGTTGACAGCAACTCGCATACTTGATTATAGGTATAACTTTTAATCATGGCTACTGCATAATATATTAAATTTCAGAGTACAGCTATTTACTCGTGGAACGTTTCAAAATTAACCGAAAATAAAATTTCTTTTAATAAGTTATTTTATTTTGTATTTATTTAAGTTCTAGAAATATTCTCATTAAATATAACTCGACCTTTATAAATTAGCGCCTATTTCTATTGTTATTAAGGTCTCGTTTTATTGCCCTCGACTAAAAGATTGCATAGTCCTTGTAAAACACCATGTATAGAATAATCTGTATATTTTATATTTTCAGAGATACTATCAGCTTTGGGCCTGCAGCTCTAGAATAAAGGTTATACAATATAATTAAATATACCTTTATAATTTATTTTAGGTACCCACGACCAAAACAAGAAAATAACGAATGTGAACTATGAGAAAATTAAAAATGGTATGATTATTAAGGCATCATTGCTAATTATTATCAATTACCAAAAGAATGTCTACCATGGTAAGACAAACTAATTAGTTGACATATTCAACTCAGCTTCAAAATGCATGTATATGTTTAAAAAAATCATATACGAATATTATACTATCAAAAATTATACTATATAACGTCTGTCGATAAATAAACTAGCTGCAGTCCAAGAAATTATATTGCGCAATATTATTTGACCACATGCAAGCTTTGATTGACCAATGAAAAACGGTGATCAACATGTATCTCCAGCTTCATAATGGTTTATAGTTCGATAGCTAGGAGTAAAATAATTTGCCTCATAAGACTCCAAAAGCTTGCTTAAATAAATATGTAGTACTGTCCGCCATCAAATATGAACCGCCCGTCTTCCGCCCCAAAATGATTGCATTGAAAATATACCAAAACCATTTGTCATTACTTAATTACTACCAAAATAAAGAAGAGGAACAAATGTGTCTTGTCACAAAGTGATCGTCTTTTGGGAGCAGACGAAGTTGAAGTTATTAAAAAATCATCTTAACTTGCCCATAAAATGCCAAGACTTTGTAGTTTCCTATATCCAGTACTGAAAGTATATAAATTATCATTAATTCAACCTGAAGTTGTCAACCGTTCTTTATGTTTTAAGGTTCCTAAATCCGCGTCTGTTTGCCTATGTGTCTTTTTTTAGGATAACTCAAAAACGGATAAACAGGAAAACACCAAATTTTACAAATATGTTTTAATCCATCCTATGGCGAGCTGATTAGGTTTTGGGCATAGTCGGAGGATCTAGGGGTACTTTATAGGTGGAAGTCTGACGAACGCTTTACATGGATGATGTTTGCATTCCTAATTTATTTCGTTCCTCATTTCAATTTGACGTGACGGATAGCTTTTACAATCTACACGTCTCCCTTACTAGCTCAGTACTCCTTTGCAAGAATCAGGAGTCTACACTCCACTTTTTGTGCGAAGCCGTTTGATAGATTGATAGCCTTTTCACATGCGCTTCCTACCTTCATCCTTATTCTCATTTAATTTCTTCCTTTCCCCTTTATTCATCTCCCTCCTATTCCTACCCTTGACGTACAGATTTTTAATTTAATTTTAAAATTTTAGAAATATATATTTATACACGTCTATTGAAGACCATTTTTTGTTTAATATTTATAATATTAATAATAATATTTATTTACCCAATAAAAAATTATAAATTAAAAAAACGAGTTATAAATGTTATGAGTAAATAATCGTTACAGCTAACAAATTAAACAAATTCTATGACAAAATTTTTGTATGCCTAATGGTGGCGAATTAGCCGAAACCGGTTGCCGATTCACTTTGGTATATGATTTTGTGTATTATTTTATTACTACGTTGACCACATTTAAGAAGATCGATACCTTTTTTTTTTAACAGTATATTGTTTAAAAACTACAAATCAATATGTTTACATGGCATTAAAACAGAAATTCTTAATGATTGTTAGCTATTCCAGCAAAACACTTTTTAATGAATAACATTTCTAAATTGGATAATGTTGTTCCAGCGTTTAAAATTGCAGTGGTTACACGTATTTATAACAAGGAAATGAATGGAACAGAGCATTGTATATAAACATTTCCGTTACTAGTCTTTATATTTAAAATTTCAAATAATATAAAACACACTAAATTATATATTTTTTAACACCACACCAACGTCAAAATTCAAAAGTCGTGACTTCGCACCAAATTACAAATATTAATAATTCATATTTCTTAGCTACGCCACTGGTTGTTGTAACAAAACACTCTGAAATACAAAAAACACTAAAGCACTGATAAGCACTAAAAAAAGTGGCCGAAGCTCATCGCTCTATTTGCTCTAATGTATACTAAATACGGGGCTTGGTATTTATTTAATGTTTCATTTCTCTTTATATTTAAGATTGCCCTATAACAAACTGTGAACGGATAATATACAGGGTAGCTGTTAAAGATGGAACCAAACCTATAGTGCTTAAACGGTTCAACACAGAAAACCCAAAATTTCAGAATTTCAACTAAATATATTTGCGCATATATTAGCCCAAAAATTATTTTTTTTATAATTACAAAATTTTAAGCATGGCCGTCATCTTGATTTTTTTAAATAGCAACATAGGTCATGTTATATACCATTTGAAATGGTTTAACACACTGATTACAAAAATGTATCACACATGGGGTCTAAACACATCAAAAAGGACATTATTAATAGGGAGCGTAGGAGCCTGTCCATTTGATACAAGACGTTAAATACATACATTATTGTAATCAGGGTCTTAAACATTTTCAAATGGTATATCACATGACCTATGTTGTTGTTTAATAAAAATCAAGATGGCGGCCATGCTTAAAATTTTGTAATTATAAAAAAATAATTTTTGGGCTAAAATATGCGCAAATATATTTAGTTGAAATTCTAAAATTTTGGGTTTTGTATGTTGAACTGTTTAAGCACTATAGGTTTGGTTCCATCTTCAACAGCTACCCTGTATATTCAATTAAAAGTACATTTATTTTATTCATATTAGAACAAAAAGCAAATAAATAATTGGAAGCTCTGACATGCGTAGATTTTTGCAAGGCCTTCTTTAAAAACTTTTTGTGTCACCCTATATACAGTGCGAAATTAAAAACTTACTTTCGACTACATCTGGCCTATTTTTATTACCATTAATTTGTGTCATACCATTGGGAGTTTCGCATATAAAATTTTGTAGTGAATTGCAATTCATGGCATCCCATTCTAATGTGTCTTTTTTAAAAATTAGTTGAATACAGTTTTTATCCTCATCGTTTATCAGATTGGCCTCTTGCCAATTAGTGTATGTTACATTTTTTCTAGACGGTAACCAATACCAGCTGGTACCATGTTCAGTACGTGTGCCACCTGACCAGAAAGTGGTACCACTCACTGAAAATTAAAATATATACATATTCTTTTATAAAAATTATAGTGTTATCATCAACTTTAATAATACTATCCTATTCCTATACCTGCCAATGGTAAATATTTTTATTCTGGTAAATACAACTTACTTGAATTTCTTATATGTTCATATAAATTCATATTTTCTTCTTTAGATGTAACAGTCACAAGTTCTAAACCAATCATCTGACATGCTCTGAGGGCATCGAAAAATGACTACAAGAAAAATACGTTTTTAAGTGAGTAGTCTAAAACTAAATGATCTACTTACCAAATTAAGATCATTTACAACATAGTATCTTTTCTTATTATAATTAAAAACGGGAAACTCAAATGAACCTACTAGTATCCCAAGCAAATTACTCATTTCTAGAAGAAAAAACCTATCTATTATATCTATTATTATTCTCGAAGTATGTTATACGTCACCTGTATGTGGTGAATTAAAAAACATTCCATCTGATTCGCAAATAAAACTTAGTTTTTCATTACAATCTTCATTATTCCATCTCATATCATCTGATTCCGCCATTACATATATACAATTTTTGTTAGTCTCTGAAGGTTGACCTGGTATCCAATTTGTATATCCTACAATTTTTCCCGTTGTCATCCAGATCCAATTTTTTCCAGTTAAGAATTTTGAGCCTGATGTCCAGTATCTGTGATTTTTTTCTCCTAAGTGAATCAAGTATATAATACATAATAATTGAGTGTTTAAAAAAGGAATAAATTAATCGAAAATTGGTTTCGTTGAAAAATAAGTCAATACTTACCTGATCTCTTTAGGTTCTGAAAGAAAAAATCATTTTCTTCCTTTGAAATAATGCTTACAACTCTCATACCCAAATCCTTACATATTTCGTAAGCTTGGAAATAATTAACCTAAAAATATTCTTCTTACAGTATTCTTAGTAAATATTTATACTATTTGATACCTTAAAAGTCTCTGAATAAAAATAATTTTTGTTTCTAAGTTGAGCAAGATATACCATATTTCCAATCAGATCTGGCCCTACTTCATCATCGATATTTAATTCCTTGGTTTCAGTTGTTTCTGTTCCCTTATTTTTTTCAACGGTTGCTTCTGTTACTGCATCTGAACCCTCATCATCAACAACTGCTGTATCTATATTTACGTCTGTAACTGTAATTGTCACTGTTTCTGGCGCAGTTTCTAAATTTTCAGTTAACTGAGTATCTGCAATTTTCTCTTCCTGATCAGCTGTCTCTACAACCTCTATAATACTTGGTCCTTCTGTATCCGTTATTTCAGCTATATTTATCTCTGTTACTTCACTAACTGTGTCCTCTGTAACTTCAACTTTATTTTCCTCGGTAATTGTAGGTTGCTCTGCATCTATTACTATATATGTCTCAGTAATAGCAGCTACCTCTACCTCCATTGGTGCCCCTGTTACAACTTCTTCATTCTTTATAGTTTCGACTACATCTGTTTCTGTAACTGTACCAATATCTTCTGTAACTACATTTTCTTCTGTAGTGTCCTGAACAGTTGTTGCAGCCGTTGTTTCGATACTCGTTTCAGTCTGTGTGGTACTTTCTGGTTCAATCTGGAGTTCGGTTTCTGAAACAACATCTGCTTCTTTTATTTCTGAATTGGTAGCAGTAGTTGATGTAGAAGTTATGGTTTCGTCTATAGTTTGTGAATCTTGAATAGCATCTTCGTCAGCTAGATAAACAAATAAAACAAAAATACTTTTAGTTGTTACACACCGTTAAAAAGCAATTTGGAACGATTGAATATATTATGGTACAGGTAAAAGGGAAATAAATTATGTTTATTTAAAAGAATGACTTACGATCCATAAAACACTTACCATTTGTAACAATATGACTTAAATAAATATATATAAAAAATATTGATTTAGTTCTGGAGCAAAACTTAGACATTCTTATTGTTATTAAAAATGTTAATTTAGTTTTACATTTACTGAGAATAAAAATTACCGACAAAGTGTTGATTTATACCTATATTTAAAATTAATTGTTTTTAATTATTTAAATTACCGGATATTGAATCAATGGACATTGTTTACAGGAAACTATGCTACAATTAACAAATTAATGTGCATGAAATAATAACTAAAAGCAAATTTATTTAACCTTTATGGTACCAAACTTTTAAACGAACGCCGAGTACCAAGAGGGTACATATTGTACCTCTTGTTTTTTGGAGGGGAAAATTCTGCTATACTTAAAAAAATACGAAATATTTTTGGAAACTTTATTGAAAATAGTGTTATTTTAACAAAAAAGAATATATAAACTCAATTTAAATATTAATCTTCATCGCAGCTGCTGCAATAATTTATTTTTCTTTGATGACCATGATTTTTACAAAAAAAATTTTGCACTTTTCACATTAAAGTTGACACTTCTTATCATCCTTTCGTGGGCAATAATGGCGGCGTCCAATGACCGTTCTTGGTTTGGTGTGATAGGTGAATTTTCTTGAGATGTTATTGGCTCATAGCATCCACTACACTTTTTGGGATATCATTTCGATTTTTTAATCTTCTGGCTACGTGCGGTTTTATAAGGGCAAGTCCCAGGTCAAGTAAAAAGAAACTCTGGCTTGAAATCATTTTCTATTCCACCTATGGCCTTGTCATGATGTTCGGTGCTCAGTAAAATTACAGCCTTATTTTTTTTGTTCACATACGAGGCCAGGGTCATATACCTATGTGTTGAATGGAAATGAAGAACTTTTTTCTACTCTGCTGAGATTAGGCAAAAAGGCGGGAGGAATATCGGCTTTGTTTCTTCTCATAGTTCCACAAAGTGTTATACCACGTTTATATAGTTCCTTAGCAAGCGGCACACTTGTAAAAAAATTGTCCGTCATAATTCCACAACCACGTTGAATACCCTGTACCAAATCAAGGAAAACTCTTTTAGCTGGTTGATTTTCTGGCATATTGCCCTCTTTACCTGAATAAATTTGCAGATTCCAGGCATATATTATCTCACAGTTAACCATTGCCCATTTTTTGATGCCATATTTGGCTGGTTTCGATTTCGTGTATACCCTAAAAGGGCATTTTCTCCTAAAGCCAACGAGCTGCTCATTAAAAGTAAGGTAAAAACTAGGTGTATAATTTTCTTTGCAATGCTCAACAAACGTCTCAAAAATGTCTCTAATTGCTTTGAGTTGTCGTGTTGCCGGCGGGCAGTTCTTGTTCGTAGATCGTCAAACCTCATGTAAGATAGGATCTCACTGAATCTAGTGCGTGATATCGTATATAGGGAAAAGACCACAAAAACTTAATCTGTTCCCTATCAGCTTTTAGCGTACCAGCAGTTATCTTGGTCGTATCTACAGGTATCCATACTTGTTTTTGCTTATTCGGATATATTTCGTTTCTTGTTTTATACATACTAACGGCTTTTTGGTTGGTAAACTGTACTATTTTGTTAACCATGGCTTTACAAATAAAGAGTTTAAAACAATTTATCAAATCAGAAATATTATTGGAATTGGTAGTTAGGCTACTAGGAATTATGACAGTATTCTGTCGAGGTCAACGTCCAACCGGCGGATCCAGATTCCAGACAGTTTTGTTTTTGGATATATAGGACGGATTGCTTAAATACTTGGCCCGCAAGTTTGCTAAAGGTTCATCATCACTATCACTGTCTGCGGAATATTGGTTGTCCTGAAATAAAAATGTAACGAATATTTATAAATTCAAATCAGTAAATTAGAAATATTGGTACCTCATCAATAGGAAGAACATCACTAACTTCCTGAATATGTTCAACATAATCTTCTTATTCCGAAGCTACTGACATATTATCTTCTGAACCATCAGCAACCTCGTGACTGTCCACTTCATCACAATAACGTAATGCTAATTGTCTGTCTGCCTCCACATCCAAATCAAACTTACGTTTGGCCATTTCTAAGGAGTACAAATCCACACAAACAGCACAATACAACGATTAGCAAAATAATAAACGTGCACTTCTGTCTTCTGCGAGGGGCACAATTCAAGGTTACAAACACGTGATGATTTCGTCGAGAACTGCGCATGAATACATTTTGTAAAGCAGTGGACATGAACCTACAAGCGGGGTACAAATTGTATCCCAACCAACAAATTTAATTATAATTTAAAAATGTTTAATTGTAAATGATTAACTATGTTGTTATTAGCTCACTAAAGTTATTTAATGGCTATGATAAAAGCAAAATCTATTTAAAAAATAATTCATTCAAATACACGCAATTTTGTGCGTGTAGGGTACATAATGTACCCCCTTAGCAGAACAAAGGTTAAAATAGTTTATTTAATGATACCTACTTACCAACCCATATATTTAACTCTTAAGTTAAAACGACTCTTTTGATTTGTGATGATTGTATTTTCGTTTTTAAACCGTACGTCATTTTAAGTCAACAATTCTTACATTTTTGGCGGAAGCTGTATACAGTGCCTTAAATTACTAACAAAATTATATCTCAAATTATGATGTGTCTAGGTCCACGTATGAAGTAGTAAAAATGTTCAAGATTTTTAGGATCTATAGATATCTGGTATTCAATTTTACTGAAAATTATTTATAATGTGTTTTTTTTTCGGCTTTGTCAATCCTGTTGTTTTTTTATACAGCACGATCCATATGTTTGAAAAAAATTCAGTTTTAGCGGAACTATGTATTTTTGAAAAGAAACCTGAAACAAGTCTTCTATTTATGTTCCTAATTTGACAATTTATAAAATAATATGTTTCCCTCTGAATTATAATCACGCCCTCAAATATTTTAAATAGGAAAGCACCTTGTTTGAAGGTGATTTTAATTCTCTTTTCGGCATTTTAAAGTTTTTTTAAAATTGGTGTAATCATAACTGAAAAAATTAATTTTAAATCTTTAAAATTATGATAATGTCTCAATCACAAAATTTTACGTAGAATAAGGCAAATAATGATAAATAAGATTAAGTATGTATGTATTTTTTAATTTATTTACAATTTTTATATAATTTTCAAACTGACTACAATTCCCCTTCTTGACAATAACCAAAGCGATGTTGAAATACTCGTAGAACATTTTGTATGACCTCAGGGGTTATGTTGTCAATTCCCTCGCTTATTTCAATTTTTAAATCTGCAATATTGTCTGGTCTATTAAAATATTCTTTTAATTTTAAGTAACATCATAAGAAGTAAACGAGAGAGGTCAAATCGGGGGATCTAGGCGGCTATCAAATCGTTTCACGTCTTCCAATCCACCTATTGGGAAACGTGCATTTCTAACTATACCAACTGTACGTGCGTAATGCGGTTTAGCTCCGTCTTGCTAGCATGTTATGTTATGATATGTTGGGTATGGGGTATTAATACACTGCGGCCTAGAAGATCTATTGTACCTCTTCTGTGGCTAATGCATTAATGAAACAGTCTTGATGCCTATAACGATCCTTTCAATCCTATCTTCTAAAAAAGTGAAGGATTTGCAGTGGCTTTAAGTTAAGTAGATCAACCGCTTCTATTTGTTATGCTTCTAAATATAGCGCACTTAAATTCTGGAGTGATTTACATTCAGTCAGAATGTGAATGGAGGTTTCAACTTCCTCCTCACAGAATCTACACTCACTGTATTCTACTCTTAGTTTATTAAGGTGTCATTTGAGTCAGCAATGCCCGGTAAGGATCTCTGTTATAATGCGTAGCCTGTTCTTGCGCAGGCTGATACAGGCTTCCTATGTTTTCTGGTTATATTTACCCAGAAGTATCTTAGCTTGTCTAGCCTGTCTTAACTTTAAGAGATTGCTTCAATTATCGGTTCTTCTGCCAAATTCTTGCAAAAGGTCTCAGGTCTCACAAAGGGTGGTTTCGCCCTTTTCCTTGCGAGACTATATGCAATCCGGTTTTGTCCCAGGACCCAAGTGAGAATGACTGTATTTTCTTCGCCTAGCGCATTTAGATTTTCTAGGCATATCCATGCCATTTTTGATTACGTAAGAAATTAGCGCTTTGACATCTGCTTGGCTAACGAACCTGCGATAGTTTCTCTCGATGTTGAACTAGATACATTTCTTAATTGCGTGAATATCCGCCTAGAATATATTTGTGTATTTACCCAAACTTTTATATTGCCTGATTTTATGTCCATAGACTACTCCAGTTCCTTATATAGTTTGAGCACCATCCGTATAATTCTGAATGGCATGTCTGTCTTGCAGACCAGCTCTGTGGTTTTAAAGTTTTTGACAAAACTGTACTTCTTTCTCGTTTCGTCCTGTATTTTTTCAAGTATCTGCCCTAAAGCTAATAGACTTTTTTCTGATTGCTCCAATCCTGATCATTTTATATTTTGTTATTTTGTCCTTTCTACTACATTCTATATTATTAAATGTAGAGAGGTAAGACTAAAAAACACCTCCATTGCGGCCGTAGAACAGGTTCTCAATGCATCGGTGCAGGGTATGTCGAGGTGGGTCAATCTGCATAGATGGTCATCAAGGGTTAGGCTCTACATTAGCGGGGATAGAACTCATCCTTGTTAAAATCCTCTGTTTGCACAGATGAAAATGGTATCATGCCCTATCTGTGTCTCTGAAGTTCTCGTAGATAGGAGCTGAGCCATCCATCTGGATCTGGTGCAATCTACTCCTATATATGCCAGTGCTCTTGTGACAGGTTCGTTTGGCGTGTTGTCAAAAGCTTCGTCGATATCTAAGAAGGCACACACGGCCTTTTATTTGTTTCAGTGCATTCTGTATTTTATCAGTCAGCTGTACCAGAGCAGTTTTTGTAGATCTTCTTGCTCGTTACGAGTGCTGGCTGTAGTGAAGTGGCACCATCTTTAGGATTTCTCGTCTAATATAATTATCAACAGCCTTCTCCTTTATGATTCTGGTTTATATCCCCGTTCCAGACTACTCT